TCAACTTCAGTATCCTACGGTTATACCACAGCCGAAAATGTAGACGCTGCTAACTACTCAATCAACCAGCAGCCCAACAGAGTACCGTACTCTAGTCGTACCTCACCTTTAGCATCCTACGGGAACACTACAGCAGAATGTGTAGACGCTGCTAACTACTTAATCAACCAGCAGCCCTTGTTGGTCTCTTCACAAGACTCACAGCACTCTTCTATAGATGATTTTAGTGATTTAATCAATTAACTAAAGTTAACAAAGAAAAATAAAGATTTTGATTATACGTACCTTAATGTTTTCTTTTAATTCTTCAATTATAGCAGAGCACACTTCAGGAACAATTCCACTTATAGATTGTTTAAATACTCTAAATGTATACTGTAGACTTGTGTAAGAGTCACCGGAGCTTAAAAATCGAAGAGTTATCGTTAGTCTATCTTGGGCTGAAATTGGAACTCTTAAATTTGAATATTTTCGACTTGTTCTTGGTCCGACTATAGCGAGTAAATTTTCAAAGTCTGTTGGCGTCATCCTCGTAAAACTTTTGTATTGGCCACTTATATGCTGGAAATTCATATCTGAAAGCAGTTTTCTGCCTTCTCTCCGTTTATATACACACATCAAAAGTGTCTAGGGATCAAGCATTTTTATGCGGATTTCTTGAGATTGAGATGTGGCTTTGTAATAAATTTATGATTTTATAAATTTATATGGAACCTTTTTGGTGCATTTCATAATTTGAATCAGGAACTGTGAATCAAATTCGAGTAAAAGATGAAAATCAGCTGTCAATATTTTCCCTATAAAAACATACAACGCATTGAAGACATTATTAGTGCTACTGTTTCCCTACTACTGATTAAAACCAACGTTATTATGGAGCGGCGACGTCATTTAAGCAGGGAAGAAATGCTCAGAGCCGTGGGAATGATAGAAGCTGGTTCCCGGCAACGTACTGTGGCTTTAGCTCTGAATACAAGTCAGAGTGTTATCAGTCGACTTTGGACACGATACCGAGGCACTGGTACCGTGGCTGAGCGCCATGGAGGACGGTATCGCTGCACCACACGGAGACAAGACCGATACATTCAAATCTTAACTCGAAGAGCTCCAACAATAACCGCCATGATGTTAGCCGTGAGGCTTCATCACTCTTCAGGGAACTTAATTAGCGACCAAACAGTCAGAAACCGCTTGCATGAAGTGAACCTTCATTCCCGAAGACCGCTACGGGTACCACCTATAGCAATGCACAATCGTAGGATTCGATATCAATGGGCTCTTGAACACAGAAATTGGGCAGAAGAACAATGGCGTTTCGTGTGCTTTTCTGATGAGTCTCGTTTTGGTATGAGACCGGATACAAGACGTATACGACACTGGAGAACCCCTGGACGCCAACAGCGATTAAAATCCTGCCAGGAAGTCCATCCTTATAGTGGTGGAACCATCATGGTATGGGCGGGTATTTGGATCGGCGGAAGAACTGAGTTGATTTGGATCAGAGGCAACCTCAACGCTCAAATTTATGCTGAGACGATTGTATCAGACGTCATCGTTCCTCTACAAGTGCAAATCGGTCCCTTATTTCAGTTAATGCATGATAATGCACGACCGCACACCGCAAGAGTTGTAAGACAGACTCTCGCCGCAGCTAACATCAATGTCCTGCCCTGGCCTGCTCAGTCGCCAGACTTGAACCCGATTGAGCATGCATGGGATATGCTACAGAGAAGAGCTCTGCCGAATATGGAGGGTATCCAGTCGCAAGAAGACCTTTTTTTGTTGTTGCAACGAACATGGGCGGCCATTCCACAGCGTGATTTGGATGAACTCATTTTGAGTATGCCAAACCGATGTTCTTGTGTTGTTAGTGTTCGCGGTAGAAATACGGATTATTAATTGTTTCAGTTACCCAATAAAATTTTAGAGAAACTGTTATTTCAGTCTTTTTTTCGAACTTTTGTGTTAGTGGTTCAAATGTCAAAAATCCCTTTATTAGGAAAATGGCAAATTTCTTTATTAATGCAAAGGTGACTTGGTTTATCGTTACTGTGACAAACGAAAACACTTTATTTGATGAATCCTTAAAGAAAATTTTAATTAATATCAATCAGGAGAAAAGTTATTGCAAAAATATATGTTGATCCCTAGACACTTTTGATGTGTGTAATTCTGTGCGCCATCAACGTCGGGGTCTTCGGCGTTTTTTTAAAAGTTGATGTATGATTAACAATGAAGCACGGATAATCGTCAGAGCAAGAAGGCTGTCTTCAGACTCCATGATTCGTAAGTATATCGACTAAGTAGAGTGATGCGGGCAAAGAAAAGAACACGTGTGACGAGGGCTAGTGTTTGTAACGAAATGCGGGAACAGATGTTCTCGAATGATTCGTAGTCAATGCGCGTACCGCGCGCGCCACACGTCCAAGGCAGCAGGGAACATGCAATGTAAGGCAGAATATTACATTACATGTTGCATTGCACCAATCCGTACCCAGCTTTAAGCCACAAGTGATCCACTATACTCCTTTACATATTTTTTAGGACCTTAAGTACGAGTTGTAAGTACGTTTGTTTTAATTGTTTCTTTACGTTTTAGGTGGAAAAATGGATCAACAACCAGATCAACCTGTGGTAGAAATGGAAAGAAACAACAATTTGGATAACATTGGCTCACATGATTCAGATTTAATAATAATAATAATAAAAGCATTTATTTCAGACACGAGATCCATATCAAAATTATAAAAAAAAAACAATACAACAATTACATAAAAATAAATAATAATAGCAATAAAACAATACATTTAAAACACATATGTCAAATTAAATGGAAATAATATTGAATTAAAAACAATTAAATTAAAACAGAATAAAATAATTTAAAACATTCAGTCAAATTTTGTTCAGTTATTAATTTAAATTCTCAATTTATCTGAAATTGTAATTTGTACCCAACGTTTATACATATTGGTCGTCATCAATCTTTCCGCCAAACTGGTGATAATTTTGTTATCACACTTGCAAACTCGAGACATAAAAGAAGCTACCCGTTTCCTTTGAATGGAATTAAACGAGTCAACGCGTGCTTGTGTAAACATTTCAGAGGCACTACAATACCGCGTGTAACCCATTAATTGCCTAAAGATGTTGTTGTAGGCAACTCTAATTCCATCATGGGACTTCTTTGTGTAATTGGTCCAGAGTTGACAAGTGTAAAAACTTTGGCAAAAAGATCTATATAGTGTTACCCTCACGTCAGGCGCCGATTTCGCAAATTTTCTAGTAATCATATTACCAACTACACATAAAGATCTACGCTGTCGTTCAATGTCTGCGTCATCCCTAAGGCTAGAGGTTACTACATGGCCAAGATACCTAAAACTGTCCACTATCTTCACCTTCCGTCCATTTAAGAAGACATCAGGGATATTTTCGGGTCCCTTTCCAGATTTAAACACCACCATTTCTGTTTTTTCCGAATTGTACGTAAGGTTGTGAGCTGTGGCAAAATTTTCACAAATTTTTAAAAGTTTCCTCAAGCCCTTGATCGAGGGACTAAGCAGCACCATATCGTCCGCATAACTCAAGTTGTTGACATACCTGTCATCCAGCCTGAGACCGACCGGGGTGCTACTCAGTTTCTCGATCAGTTCATTCACGTAGATGTTAAACAAATCCGGAGAGGTCAAACCTCCCTGTCTTACTCCGCAAGAGAGGCGATAAGGATCAGACATTTGACAGCCCCACCTGACATTATTACTTTGATTCTGATACCAGTACTCAAGAAGATCCGTAATACAAGCTGGAATACCCGTATTGCGTAACTTTTTCCACAGTAGGTCATGGTTAAGTGTGTCAAAAGCACGAGACAGATCTAAAAAACAAGCAAATACTGTAGTTTTGCGCTCCTTATAATAACTAACTACTTGTTTCAGGGCAAATATTGCCATGTCAGTGGACACCTGAGGACGGAACCCGAATTGCCCATCGTCAATGTTAATATGAGAGAAGTGCGAGTGAATAACTCTCTCAAGCACCTTGGCCACTACTGTCGCAAGGGAAATTGGCCTGTAATTAGTCACGCTCGAGATATCCCCCGTTTTATTCTTCATAATAGGTACAATTACAGTTCGCATTAAATCCCTAGGTAAGTAGCAGCGTTTCATGCAGAGGGTAAAAAACCAGTCCAAAACAGTACAGATATGCTGGCCGGCATATAGCAGGTGTTCTATACTTAGCCCATCGTGTCCCGGAGACTTACCCCTTTTCATATTTTTCAGTACATCCGCTATTTGTTTTGGTGTTATAATCATTATAGGGCCAGACTCAGGGCGACGACTAGGCTCTTTTGTAAAGTTTGAGTTCGTAACTTTATTCGGTTTAATATAATCAAAATGCGTTCGAAATAAATTTGCAATTACTTTTTTATCTTTTTCACCCTCTATATTACATGGTAAACAATATTTACTGTCCAAGTTTTTAGTTTCTTTCCAAAAATCTACAAAATTACCCTTTGCATGATGTCGAGCCAGCACATCCATTCTTATTTTGTTCTGATTATTTTGTACATACCTAACAGCAGCCTTAAATGCCCTGCGCGAGGCAACCATATTTTCAAAGTGGTGTCCCGAGCGCGGCCTGCCAAATTGAGTCCACAATAAAAAATCATTCCTAGCCTTAACATGAGCGCTACTGACGTGAAAGTTCCAACCTATAATTTTACGTCTCTTTTTTGAGTTAAGAATCATACTACTACATTCTGCCGCTGCAGTTAGTGTCCTAATAATATCACAGTATAAATTATCTATGTATAATATATTATTTGTTTGTTCATTGCATATTTCATTATTTAAGGGATTGCGAAGATTTAGGTACCTACCAACATAGTGATTCATTATTTTAAAAGTACTCCTTTACATATTTTTAGGAACTTAAGTACGAGTTGTAACTACGTTTGTTTTAATTGTTTCTTTATGTTTTATAGGCAGTAAGTTGGATCAACAACCAGATCAACCTGTGGTGGAAGCCGAAAGAAACAATAACTTGGATAACGTAGGCCCACCTGATTCAGAATTAATAGATTGCGAAGATTTGAATACCAATGAAAGATAAAAAAAGACGAAGAGACAGCCAGAAAATTGGCAAAAACATGTGAAAAAAGGTTTGAAGAACACAGGAAAGTCTTACCAAACATTTAAAGGAAGGACAATACCCGCTAAAAAACTAAGAACTCCATGTTCAACTGATTGTCGATTGAAATGTACGGAAATATGAAAATTAAAGTTAATGAAGAAAAAAGGTTAATCATTTTCAACGATTTCTGGGGCATTGGGATCTAGGAAGACAGCGTTACTTCGTTGATAGTTGTATGGGAGTTGTAAAGCCAAAGTATTCACTACACAAAGACGATAGTAAACGATCCCTGAATGTGTCATACAGTTTTACAATAAATTCAGAGGAAATTCGAGTATGCAAACGATTCTTCTCAGCAACATTGGACATAGGACATTCTTTTTTATCTACAGTGAACAAAAAGAAAGCAGGAGCATCGGGCGTAATATCTGAAGATCGTAGAGGACGTCATGGTAATACAGGTAGATGTTTAGCACAGGCTGACAAAGATGGTGTAAGGGAACATATAAATTCTTATCCAAGAAAAGAGTCGCATTACTGTCGGGCAAGTTCTACAAAAGAATACCTTGATGGTGACTTAAACTTGACTCTGATGTATCGGCAGTACAAGGAATGGTGCGTTCAGAATAATAAGCCTATTATCAAGCAAGGCACCTATGAACACATTTATCGAAACGAGTTTAACATTGCATTTCACAAGCCCAAGAAGGATCAGTGTTCAATTTGTTTGTCGTATCAAAATGCTGTTGGCGATGATAAGTTGCAACTACATCAGACTTATGAGAAACATTTAAAAGAAAAAGATTTGTGCAGATCGGAAAAGCAAACAGACATAGAAACATGCAGAAATGATGCTAATAAGATAGTTTGTTGTTATGACATGCAGGCAGTTCTGCCGACACCATGCGGGAACGATTCCCTCTTTTTTTATAAAAGAAGACTAAATGTGTACAACTGCACCGTATTTGACGTTGTATCAAAAGCTGCCTATTGCTACCTGTGGAATGAATCATTAGGAGGAAAGGGTTGCGATGAAGTTGGGACATGTATTTACAAATTTTTGAAAGACCACTGTGTTGGAAAAAATGTTTTATTCTACACTGACAATTGTTCTGCACAGAATAAAAATAAATATTTACTAAGCCTCTACCACTATGCTATCAAAGTTTTGGGTGTTGTGTCAATAACACACAAATACTTAGTTGTTGGACACACCCAAAACGAAGGTGACAGCTTGCATAGCACAAAAGAACGGGAGAAGAAACGAATACTGCAAAATGGATCTATTTTTGTGCCAACACAATGGAAATCGGTTATACAATGCGCCAAGAAGACTGGAACTCCATACACAGTACAAGAATTAGACTTCAGTGACATTCTCGATTTAAAGGACCTAGTAACGCAGTTTGGTAAAAACTTCACAGTTAATAATGACGGTGATCGTGTTGTATGGAACGACATCAAAAAATTCTTCATGCAGATGACTTCCTCATACTTGATTTTTTATAACGACACCTATGATCCGAATGCAACGATGAAGTGCTTAAATGTGCGCAACAAAACTAGAGGCAGAGGTGCTGCAAATGTTGAACTACATCTACGAAATAAGTGCCACCAGCGACCAAAGATATCAAGCCTAAAGAAAAAAGACTTGCTTTCTTTATGCGACTCCAATGTCAATCCAAGAGTACACCGAGAGTATTACTCAAGTTTGGAGGCTGGAGACAATCATATTGAGCCCGATGAGCACAACGAAAACAATTAATTTAAAGCACCTTATTGATTTAAGATAAAAAACTGTTCTCTTTTTATTTTTTAAATTTTAGATAAACCATTAAGATTTCTAAATTGATTGTTTTTTTTTAATTTCCTTACTAGCTTAATTAGAAATATTCCAATTAGTTCTTAGATTTTCAGGAAATTTTCAGTTCATTATTGGAACATTTCACAAAAATACTGATAACTCAAAAACTACAAATGACATCCTAAATCTTAGTAACACACAATAAACTTGGCTATAATCTGCATACTGTTCAATAAATACAAAAACACAAAATGATCTCTAGTTAAAGTAAAATAACATTTGAATATTTTCAAAAACTTTAAACCTCAATTACTCAGAACAGCATCATTTTGAAATGTTCCACTACTGTTTCCGACCGACGATATATTCGTTTCGCTCCTTGGGAAATATGTTAATTCTACAATTAACATTTCGTTTATAGTGGTATTTTTTCCATTAAGTTGATTGATTCGATTCTGTACACCGATGACCTATGTCTCGATGTATCCGGTAAGCGAGTAGGTTTGTCACCGCATTGGTAGGCGTCCCTCCTTTTGTCCTGAAGCCTCGACAGCATCAACATGTCTTGGAAATGATCTTATCATTTTTGCAGAAAAGGGTTAAGCTGCTTCGCTTTGGCACAGCTTAAATAAGACCGGGCAGGCCCGGCCCAACGAGTGGACCGGGTGACGCGCCTCAGGGGGACTGCGCTAGGGTACTAGGCAGTCCCCAGACGTGGTGGCCTATGCCGGAGCGGCACCTAGGACGCGCGGCTGGTCAGGCCGCTCCCAGACCACCTTAGGGCCGTCGAAGACCGGCAGTCACCGCTGCCTGCCTTCTTCAGCCCACCCGTCTACGCCAGAGAGGGGCGGCTAGAGCGTCCTCCCCCCGCTCCCTCTCCGCTGCCTCCTTCTGCGTCATCACCGATTCGCAGGAGGCGGCAACCCTCCAGGCTCTCTCGCTACCAAGCATGGCTCTTACCATACTTGGCAGCGTGAGGCCTCCTCCGCCGAGCGCCGCGGCGCTCATCTCGGCCGTGTCGTCGGGAGAGGCGCAGTGATGACACCGCGGCGTCTCCTCCCTACGGGCGACTCGGTGCAGGTAGTGACCGAAGCATAAGATCTTTTTTTTTTTAAATTTTGAATGTTCACACCGTGATGACCTAAACCACAATCTCAGCCTGATGATGCTTCGATCCACGAGGGTCTAGACACGTGGACTCAAGCCAGGGCTGTTGCCTGTGCACCCGGGGGTTAAAAAGCTGCCCATTGCCTTGTCAATACCATCGTCCAAGGGGATGTGACCATCTTGTGTCCGGAGCGCCCGTTGATGTGGGGATACCGCATGGACAGTTTAACTGGATAAACCGGGTAATATTAACACATTTTGTAAACCCATTTGATGTAAGATTAACATTTAACTGAATTAAATTTGATATCCTTTGGCAAGTAATTTGTATTAGCATACTTTGATACCATGAAATAAATGGATGTGAACATTTAATGTGTGGACATTTTCATTTCATCTGAAATCGTTTGTTACTGTGTGCATGGCGCCTCATAAATAAGTTTTGCACACAGTACTTCAGGCACGGTCTTAATAAAACCCGCTCCCTATTAACTTGCTCAACATCTAGCCGACTGTTGCAAATTAGCCGTAGCCAGGAAAAAACCATTACATTAACAGTGTTTTTGTTTATGTATCATGGTAGATCCGGCTATGATTTTTATTAGTTTATTATTTGATCCTTTTGCTTACAATAACTATCAAAATCTTATCCGGAAACGTTCGGATAAAAACAGTTTTCAGGGATTAAAGATGTTTAAAAAAATCGCTTAAAATTGGAAATGTTTTTTAGCGACTTCTAACATAGTATTTGTTTGTTTTAGGTAGAGAAGGTTAGGAGTAAGGATTGTGACCCGACAGTACTTGTTTGACCGCATGAAGAAGGAAAATTTGCCTAAATTGGATGCCAAACTAAATCATCTAAAAGATCAACTTTTGCCAAGTGAAGGTTACAATGAAGACCAAATTGTTAATTTAAAACGTAGTTTTGCCCATTTCAAATCAGAAATCAAACAAAGGTGGACGAATGCTCATCATAAAGAAGATAATTTTATAAAATATAACCAGTCTTGGCTGGAGGGTACTTTTGAAATACCTGTTGCTAAGACTTTACAAAAACGGCCAGGTCGACCATCGAAGTCGTTCGAAGACGCAAGTGAGAGGAGCAAAAGGCGAAAGACTGAAGAACTCATATCATAATACATGCTGCGCAGCAAGAACTCGGAAAATCTAATAAAAAAGATGCATCAAATGTCCTAAAAGATATCACCAGTACTCCGACAAGAGCAACCAAATATAAAAAAGCATTTCATCTTACGAAATCCAGTAAACAGCAACCCTCCTTGACAAGCTTTGCAAATGTTTGTAGATGCCGATTTGAGACAAGGACAGTACGAAATTATAAGAAAGACTAATAAGAAGTTTTTTCCGTGCTATAGCGCCTTGCAAAAAGCCAAGAAGAAATGTTACCCACCTCAAGAATCTTTTACAATAACGAGTACCAGTGCGGAAGCTCAGTTACAGCCTCTAATAGATGTAATCGTATGGCGCTTATCGGAGTACCTTGAAGAGGTATTAATAAACTTAAAGGAGAAAGAGCGTGAATGCTTAACTAAATAGGGCTGCGATGGGTCCCAACAATCACAGTTTAAGCAAAAACTAGAAAGTGATACTGATACTGACTCAAACATATTTCAAAGCTGCTTCGTGCCTATTCAATTAGTTAGTGGAAATAATAATGAAAAAGTCCTATGGAATAATCAAACACCCTCTTCGCCCCGATTTTGTCGACCAATAAGATTCCGGGGTTCGTCAAGGAAACTAGTGATGTCACCGAAGAGGAAATAAGACACGTAAAAAACGCTATCAGCTCTTTAGTCCCAACAGAGGTCGACATATCAGGGAAAAAGTTTTTAATTAAGCACACTTTTATAATGACCATGGTAGACGGAAAAGTGTGCAATGCAGCTACAGGCACAAAGTCTACTAGTAGATGCTACATAATGTGGAGCGACCTCGAAAGATTTTAATAAATTGGACTTTACAAGAGAGGTGAATTTTGCAGCCCTTGAATTCGGCATATCAGTGTTACACGCAAGAATTGGAATTTTTAAAAGTATCCTTCATTTAGCGTACAAACTTAAAGTGAAAAAATATAGAGAAAGTAAATCAAAAGAGGAGAAAGATCTAGAAGAACAAACCAAAAGAGAAATACAAGCAAGGTTTCGCTCTGAAACAGGTCTGATAATAGATATGCCTAAATCAAATTTCGGAAATACAAATGATGGCAATACTAGCAGAAGGTTCTTTGAGAACCCGAAATTAGCCTCAGAAATAACTGGTATCAGTTATGAATTAATTTATAGACTGAAAGTCATATTGGAGGCAATTTGAAGCAGGTTCCAAATTGAATTGTTGTGCATATTAAATATGAAGAATATGCTTCAGAAACTGCTTGTCTTTATGTGAATTTATATGATTGGCATCCCATGACTCCAACAATGCACAAGATTTTAGTCCATGGCGCAGTCATCATCGAAAAGGCATTGTTACCAATCGGACAGCTTTCCGAGGAAGCAGCTGAGGCTCGCAATAAATATTTCAGATGTTACCGCCAAGATTTTGCGAGGAAATTTTCGAGAGAAAGCTGTAATCAGGATATTTTTAACCGCCTTCTGCTAAGTTCAGATCCTATGCTAGTAGCATGCGAACTATAAAAAAAAGGAAAGCAGGCACATTTTCGCCTGAAACCTTAGCCATGTTTGTATCTGCGAATGCAAATACATCAGATAATTCATCAGAGAGCGACGAAGAAAATCAAGAAACTTAGCATTAATTTTGTGTTTTCCTATGTACCAATAAAAAAGTAATTTTGTAATGGTTTTTTGTTTAGAAAATATATTGTTTTTTGTGAAAATTTTATTATTTACTTCCTTTAGCTATCTAAAGCAAAAAAATAACTTAAAAAATTAAGCAAAAAAATAATTTTGGCCGCGTAGATCGGGCAAATACCTGTTTGTGCGCCTGTTCGCCACTGTATTTGAAGACTATTTATGAAAACAAAAAAAAAACATGCGGAATCCAAACCATAGAAAATTCAAGAGTTTGTTACAATAATTAAATAGCTAGTATGGCGATGTACTTCTACATACCGGAGTACGATAGCTGAGTAGGACAAAAGTTGTAGAACGGTTTTAAGCTTTATGGCATGAAATAATATTATTTCTACAACAAAATAATAAAGATTATAAAGAACTTGAGCAAGACAGTTGGTGGTGTATTTTAGCACTTCTTTGCGATATAACATAAATACTTGGTGAACTTAATCGTCGATTACAAGGTGAGTATAAACTTATTTCTCAAATGGCAAGTAAAGTGTTTGTTTTCGAAGACAAACTTCATATGTATATCGAAGAAGTAAATAATATAAAACTTCATAATTTTCCAACACTGATAAAAGCTCAACAGGATGGAATTGATGTGTGTCCCCAGATATCTCTGGGGTTTATATTTCTAATTACTTAGTTTCCTTAAGCAACGAATTTCGGAAAAGATTACAGGATTTTCATAAAATAAAGAATTGTCTTCTCTTGATTGAAAATCCCTTGCACTTAGAAGTGGCCACTACAACAGAGCTTGCAGTATTGAGTTTTCATAATGTAAAATTATCTGATGAGCTGATTGATTTAAAAAATGATACGAATCTGGAGGCGATTTTTAAAGAGAAAAGAGAGACACATCAATATGAAGAATTTTGGAAATTAGTACCGGAGACGTTAAAAACTTGTGCATACTAAGGCTAAGCGCGCACTACGATAAAAAATTATTGCGAAAAAATATCGCAAATCTGTTAACCACAGAAATACACTACAATCCGCGCATTGCGAAAATAAATCGTTTGCTATTTAAAATTGCATATGCGAAATTGTATGTGTATTTTGTACCCTACGAAGCGGTACTGAGGCCCGCGCATTGCGGATAAAATCGCAAGCGCAGCGGTCAGTCGATTGAGTATCTTTGACGATGTCAGACTCAAGTGAATCGGAATCGCCTGTGGCTACGCCACCTGCCGCCACCGCCACTAGCGATGATGGCAACGATATCATTGATGTAGACAGATTAATCAGTGCGGTGGCAAAAAGACCCCAAATATGGATTAAACTATCCCCGCGTATGTGGATCGTAATTTAAAAATCAAATCATGGGATGAAATATCTGATGAAGTAGTGGATGATTGGAGCCAACTGTCTAATAAACAAAAAACAAAAGTAATAGGTGAGTATTTTTTATTTATTATTATTAATATATTATGACATTATTTCATAAAATCTTATTATGGTGATTCCGATCGCACACTAGCGACGCCATTAAAAATAAATAATTTACATAATGAACAAGGGCAATAAACGAAGTTGTTGAGTATTTTGGGAATATAAAAGAGTGAAATATACACTTTTGGACACATCTATTGGCCCACCTTGTATTTTCAGTTTCGTTTTGTCCTAGCTAAAATTTTATATTAGGTCGAGCAAAAAGTTTTTATGAAGTTTTGAACCTGTGAAATGAAATTGTGAATGTACACAATTTCATTCAATAGTCTTTTTTTGAATTTCGAACACAGAATTTAAAGAAAAAATAAACAATTTGGAGCCGTTTGTTGATATCAAACAATCGAATACTAAGAAAACTTGGTTTTATTGGTTTACTTGGATTTAATTCTTGAAAAAGTGATTGATATCTTTGGTTTTGCAACAAACATTACTTATTCTTAACATTAAGGTGAGCTTCTATCAATAATCTATGGATACTTCACCTGAAGTCGCCGCCCAAGCTGTGGCACTTATTCAGGCCGGACACAGCCAAAGAAACGTGAGTGCTCAAGTCGATCTGCGGTCCGAAATGTTTATCGGAGGTACCTAGAGACTGGCGGCTTTGTTCGTCGCAAGGAAGGCCACGATCTCGGGTCACAACTGAAAGGCAGGATCGATTCATCGTGACGACCAGCTTGAGAAATCGTCACCTTACCTCCATTGAGATACAAAAACAAATTCGCGACTTCCACGGAGTATCTGTGAGCGCTCGAACTGTTCGGAGAAGGTTAAAAGAACGCGATATGGTACCACACAAGCCAACTAATGGGCCCAAACTAACGCGAGCCCACCGAACAGCGCGCCTTCATTTCGCACGCAGTCATTTAAATTGGACACAGCAAGATTGGAGCCGTGTTCTCTTTTCTGATGAGTCTAAAATTGTGTTACATGGCAATGATGGAAGGAAGAAGGTCTACCGACGTAAGGGAGAGCGTTTCGCACAATGCTGCTTTGAAGAGAGGGTTGCTTATGGCGGTGGCTCATGGACTCTCTGGGGCGGTATATCCGCGAGCGGCAAAACTCAACTTGAGGTTGAGTTGAAAGGTAGAAATGAACGAATGAGAATGAATGAAATAAACTATTTCACTAGTTCTAGCGGTGCAGTGAGACGAGATATTCTCGATTACGAATACTGTTCATAGTAGATCGGTGCCTTGTATGTGATATATTTTGCAAAGTTGACTGAAATAACAAGTCTCTGGATCTTAATCCATCATGTTTACGTACATAATTATGTAGAATGCAGCAGGCTTTTATAATAACGGCACAAGTTTTAGGATTGACATCCAGTGCCTGATGCAAAATTTTCCATTTATTTGTTAATATTCCGAAATTGCATTCTACCCTCATCCTTGCTCTTGATAGGCGATAATTAAAAACTTTTTCTGATAATGTCAAATTTCGCCGCGGGTCTCATGATGTGCTCTGAGAGTGCAATGCCTCATCACCAACAAACACATAAGGAAATTCATTTCCGTTATCGTCATGGGGTAAAGTTTGTGGCTCTGGAAGACTTAATTGACCACGTTCAAGCCTTTTGCCAAAATTTGAATTTTGGAACACAGTTGAATCACTGCTGCTTCCATATCCACCAACATCAATTGCAATGAAGGAGTAATTAGCATCAGCCACAGCCATTAGAACAATAGAATGATAGTGCTTGTAATTGAAGTATTCTGAACCTTTTCTGTTTGGCTTTTCACATCTTACGTGTTTGCCATCTATGGCACCCAAACAATGTGGGAAATTTGTTCGTCTTTGAAATAATTGGGCTTTTTCTAACCACATATCTTTAGTAGGTTCGAGCATACATGTTGGTTGAAGACACGACCAAAGCAAACTACACACTTCTTCTACTATTTCACGAATTGTCGACGCACCAATAAGATACTCATAATACAATGAGTTGTAGCTGTTTCCTGATGCCAAGTACCTGAAATCAAATATAATAGTGTATAATTTTTCTACTCTTCTACACACTATGGACACACACCTTCACTCACCCTCACACATCCATTCTCACACACACACGCCCTTATTCTCTCACACACGGACTTACACTCACTCTCACACATACCTACAGTCTCTCTCACACACACACCTACACTCTCCCACACACGCATACACCTACCCTCTCCCGCTCCCACACAGAGATGGGTTTTGACCCGGGTTATAACCCACTAGTAGGTTAAAACCCAATAATAACCCATTTCAATCCACCCATGGGTTGTTATAGTGGGTGATAACAAATGATTTCAAAATTTTATCAATTCGTTTGTTTTTTACCTAATTTAAATAAACGTAAAGTAAAAAACATAATACTAAATAAAAAACTCAATTAATGAATATAAACATTAAATATTTTCTTAAATAAAAGTAAGTTGTAATATTTGTTTCTTAGGTTCTCACGCACATCACTCATTAAATAAAACTAGTTTAAACGGGATAATGCACGAAACTTTATTTATTTATTGACGTAAGTTGTAAGTAAATATTCTTTATTAAATATGTGGTGCTGGTTACGCCGCCGCGCCAGGTTGATAACAGTGTTGCCAGATCAGGGGATTTCCCCCTAGATTTAGGGGTATTTCGTCGGGCTCAGGGGAGAAACAGGGGGAAAAATTTTTTAGGGGATTTTTTAGGGGTTTTTCAAAAAAACGCGAATTATTTTTGAGAAAGTTATTCTTTTCGATAATTTGAAAGAATAAAGTCATTTGCATAACGAACCGAACGAATCGTCAGATATTAAGAAGTCGGGTGGTCGCGGTCGCGGGTTAAACTTGATTGAATCACTCGACTGCTGCGCCACGGAGATATGATGAACAAATATTGGCAGAGGGAACCCCCTGTCAATATTGAAACTGTTTTTGTCCACGCGTTTTATCCACAAACCCTAACCTATATTACGAGTAACCTTTTCTAACCGCAATAACCTCAAAACCTCATTCTTTTGTACAGTTTTTAACACACTAATCAGTTATTAGTTTTTTATACACGATATCTGCGAAACTTTTCTTATCTTGAGAGAATTGGCGATAAAAGAATGCCGAAAGAGAAAAAAACAAACAAATACGTACAAAAGTACGTGAAGAGTTGGGAAAAAGATCCAGCTTGCGTTGGTAAGTAAATAACACCGATCTGACAAATTCCTCAGGAAAACGAATGTGTCAAATCTAAAATCCTAAAATTCGAGTTCAAGGATGAAGTACGAGCCTCGAATATATCATGCCAACGATTTTTTGAATGTATTGGTACATTTTTTCCCGATCATTTTTTTTTTTCGAAACTAGGGTGGCTGCAGCCAATTGTTGGCGACGAAACAAAAGCTTTCTGCTCGCATTGTAAGGTCACTTTAGTCGCACACAAGAAGAGTTTGCAGGAACATGCCACATCGAAGAAACACCTGCAGTCTGCCAACAAGGAACGTGAGATTGTCAATTTACCAAAAATTGATCGATTCGCAAAAGTGACTCTCACAGAGAAACGAAAAATTGCCGAGCTCAAAATCGCGACGTACGTGGCGGAGCATTGTTCGATAAAAAGCGTCGATCATCTGTCGATGGTGATTAAAGGTCTCGACGAAGACTCGACAGTTTTGCAGGACATTAAGCTTCACCGCACCAAGTGCTCAGCTTTGGTAAAAAACATTCTGTCGCCATGCATTTTGCAAGAGCTACTCGAAGACGTTTGCGACAGTCACTTTTCGCTTATTATTGACGAATCGACGACAGTGGATACCAAAAAGGTTCTCTGTATTATGATCCGGTATTTCAGCAAAACAAAAAAAAAAATCGTAACAACGTTTTATAGATTAATTGAGATGGAAGCCGGAACATCGGATGCTATTTCACACGCAGTGCTGAATCAATTAAAGATCGATGGCCTTCAGCCAACAAAGTTAATCGGTCTTGGAGTCGACGGTGCAAGCGTAAATGTCGGAAGACACCATTCGGTGTCAACGTTATTACGCGAGGTAAACCCAGAGCTCATTATAATAACATGCATTTGTCACTCACTGCATCTCGCCGCGGAACAAGCCTGCAAGACGTTGCCAAGGCATATGGATTTTTTGGTACGGGAAACCCACCTTTGGTTCACCCATAGTACCAAAAGACAAATTGCATATGCAAAAATTTATCAAACGCTTTCAGATAAATTGCCAAAAAAAATTGTTAAAATGTCCGATACGCGTTGGTTAGTTCGACTTCAGGCTGTTGAAACAATATTGGAGCAATGGGATACGTTGAAACTTCATTTCCAAATCACTGAAAGTAACGACGAGCGCTGTTATATAGCGTCTCAATTGCACGCAATGTACGCCACACCCGAAAACAAGCTATTTCTAACATTTCTCGCCAATAGCCTGAAAGGTGTTGTAGGACTGAATAAGTTGTTTCAGTCTCAGAACGTTGATCCCGTCAAACCTTTCGAAGACCTTAACAATCTGATGTACAGTCACCTGCAAACCATCGTTGTACCATCTCAACTTCAGAAAGTATCGCGCTATGAACTCGGGACCTTTGATTTTCTTCAACACTTAGGCCCCTTGCGCACTAGCGGTCAACCGCGGGGGCGGCTAACCGCGCGGTCTGCCGCTTTCCCAGTTTAATATGCAACCGCCTGTGATTGTACGCACTTGACCGCCGCAAAGTTTCAACCGCGGCGGTTGAATGGAGAGCTGCGGCCCGCTCCGCGGCTGGCCGCCATCTTGCTTGTACGCACTTGCTATTTCAGTTTGCGGCGAGCCGCCGATGATTTAGTACGTGAGTCGCAGTCATGAACTTCGACACAGAGAAATTCATTGTTGAAATTCAACAACGAGAATCAATTTGGAATTGTCAAGGAGCAATATATAGGAATAGAGATTTAAAACGGAAACAATGGGAAGAATTAGTAGACATTTTTGGAAAAGATGAGATGACAACAGAGGAAAAAAGAAGTCTTGGTAAGTATTTATTATAATTATTATTATTATATTTATATAAACGAAACTACACATACATTCAACATCTTAAAACATAATAAATACGTCTATTTTCAATTAAATCATATTTCTTTGCCATTCTAATTTCCCATCAGTCATAAAATATTGGGCAAACAATTCTCTGTATCTCAACGCAGTTTTAGCGTTCCTTCTTAACCCTTCCTGTGTTAAGTTTTCTGTCAAAGGGCAACTGAGTGAGTCGTCGTAACAATAACCATCTCGGTCTCTTACAAAATTATGTAGTACACAAGTAGCTTTTATAATATCTTTTGCTAGATCAAAGTGAACATTTAGAGGTCTATGAAATATACGCCACTTGTTTGCATAAATTCCAAAACTGCATTCTACATATCTTCTTGCTCTAGAAAGCCTGTAATTGAACGTTCTTTTAGTTTCATCCAAATCTTTTTTTGCGTATGGGCGCATCATATTCGTAGATAATGCAAATGCCTCGTCGCCTACAAAAACGTATGGCATACATGTCTCGCTGTTTTGTGAAATAGGCTGTGGCTCTGGAATATCCAATTGGTTTTTTTGCATTCTTTCGTAGAAAACAGAATTTTGAAATATTGACGAGTCACTGAATTTACCAAAAGCTCCAATATCAACCATAACAAATTTGAAATTACTGTCGCATACTGCTAATAAAACCAAAGAGAAAAAACTTTTATAATTAAAGCACATTGAGCCACTGTTATTAGGTGCTATACATCGTATGTGCTTGCCATCGACAGCACCTAAGCAGTTAGGAAAATTAGCTCTTTGAAAAAAATCATTCGCTATTTTTTTCCAAGCGTCTTTTTTTGGTTGAGGCAAACAAATATCTTTCAGACAAAACCAAATTGCAAAACAAACTTCTCGTACGATTTCTGCTACAGTGCTTACTCCAATTTTGAATGTATAATGTAGTTCCGCAAATGTACAACCTGTTGCAAAATATCTGAAACAAAAATTTTATAATTACTACATGCATTATTTAATTCAATTTAGATATGTACCTATATTATACTTCTATTACTTTATGACTATATCATTAACTTGTTTGTTGTATTGTTCTAGGAAATGAATTACAAAAAAAATGGAAAAACATCAGGGATAATTTTGTGAAAGCTCTAAAGGACAATGTTAGCAGGAGTGGGTCAGCAGCTAAGAAAAAGACTCAATACATATTTTACAATAATTTAATGTTTTTGAAAGACACAGTATCAATAAATAAAACTGATTCAAATATGCCAAGGCAAGAAAATGATGGAAATGAAACAGAAAATGTCACTGACCCAGTCATACCACCACCGCCAAAACGAAATAAAAAGAAAAAAAAAGAAGATGATATAGGAGTTGAATTGATTAACGTCTTAAATAAGAATGTCGAGTTCAGAAAGGCCGAAGAAGATGAAGATAGACTGTTCTTTTTGTCGTTGGTTAGTGAAATAAAAAAAGTGCCTGAACATATACGCCTACGTACAAAAGCTAAAATAATGCAAGTCATTACTGAAGCCCAAACGTCTGGATACAACTCTACTTGGGATTACGTGCGACCATTTACCTACAACCAAGGGCCACATCAAGGATATCAGACACCATCATTTGCTAGAAATTATATCCCACCACCACCACCACCGCCCTCAGTTTCACCTACACATCGTGGAACATGGAATGAAGGAGAATCTGTAACTTCTCCTGAATCAACATATTCACAGAATACACATATGTCTCATGAATCTGATTATTTAGATCTTTTTAATGATAATAATTCTCAGTAATAGTTATAGTTTCCTACTTTTATTGTTCTTTGTGGTTATGAATACACATTGCGATTCAAATTAAAACATAATAGCTAGCAAAAACATTTTTTATTTAAAATACATACCTTAACGTTATAACTAATTTCTCTTCGGGTTGGATACAGTCACGAAATTTAGTATCTTGTCCTTTGATGGTGACATATAAAACTGTTAGTAATTCTTCAAATGACGAAACACTCATTCTAACATAGCCAAAGAATTTATCTTGGTGCTTCTTCAGTTCTTGAAAACAACTTGCGAACTGGCCAAATTCATTACGTGTTTCTAGTAAAGGATGAATCCAGTATCTTTTTTTATTTTTCTTTCGTTGTTTTCGGGAATAATAATAAATAACACAAGCTATCTCGACGGCGTCCATTTTGTTTATGAGGTACGCGGGCCGCTCTGGTCCAACCGCTTAACGCGTTATCATCGCGGTTTTTTCGCGATTGGCCGCCATAGCGGTCAGCCGCGATGAAACCGCGTTAAGCGGTTGGACCGCTCAAACGAACCGCCTAGGCGGTCAATCGCTAGTGCGTATAAGCCCTTAATGAGCTTGCAATGTGTAAATTTCGGATACGATTTCAACAGTCTTGCTTCGAGCATCAAGCCTGAAACGCTGGTCAATATTAAAGAAAGATGCAGGAATTTTTTAATCACATTGTGCCAACAATTGCAAAAAAGATTGCCCGAGAATATAAAAATTCTCGAAAAACTGTCGACTTTTTCGCCGAACGTAGCTTCATCTCAAGTTAAAGTCGATATCACTGAGATAGCAACCAAGCTTAAAGCCAGTGTGTGCACTGACATCGACAGTACTGTGAAGGAATGGAATCTTCTTCACACTGCCAAAGTTTTGAACCTCCAAAATACCGAAGATTATTGGGCCGAGATTTTCGACATTAAAAATGCTGGCGGACAAAAACGGTTCGGTAATATTGCGCAGCTCGTACTTGCTCTGTTGTGCTTACCGTTTTCGAACGCTTCGGTCGAACGAGCTTTTTCAATATTAAATATTGTTAAAGACAAACTGCGCAACAGAATGTCAATTGCAATGGTAGAGGCAATAATGCACGTCCGACTCACGCTTGGAGTCGATTGCCGCGATTTCAAGCCTACGGTCAGTGCCGTAACTAAGGCGGTGCCAGCAGTGCCCAGGCACAGGGCGCAGACCCTGGAGGGGCGCAGAAATGACCAGACTAGTATCTACTTTTATCTCATGCATGGTAGCTAGTAGGTACATTTTGTTTTATTGCGAACATGGTGTAGACGCGCCCTACTGTACTATCTATAGTTATATTTAAATCGCATTTTCAAGCGATCTTGAAACAACAACACATGTAAAGGTGGATTATCGGTTTTATACATTTAGTATGGTAACGTTCACACTACTGCTTAACGTGTTGTGATGGTTTATGTATGGAACCGATACAGTTCTGACGCGTCAGTCGTCACGTCACGATACATCAGACAAATGTATATCCACCTTAAGTCTTGCTGGCAATATGACATACATAAACAAAAGTACCTACATAAACCGTTATTTTCAATGATATCTCACAACAAAAAAATCTCCAATAAAAAATATTTTTATTTTTTATAAAAATAAAACAAAAAGTAAAACACATGACAGAGCTAAACTAAAAATTACTAAATAGTTACTATGTAAACTTGTCCTTTTAAGAACGCATCCAATATTCATTAATATCTGAACGCATCGATCATGCCGCGCCGCGCCGCCGTCCCAATGTTCGGGGATTCCCCGATACATCGCTAATACGCATTCAATTGGCCGACCGGAGGTTATAGTTATTGATTGTTTTGTCAACTATTGTCATTATTCGTATAAAATGACATTAATTTAAAGTAAAATTGTGTGTGAGAGTGAATAAGGTTATTGTTGATTTGTTGTTCGTTGATAAACTCGTTTGGGTAAGTTAGAAAATTGTATTTAAAGATTTAAGGTCCATCAGGCAAAGTGAAGTCAAGTACTAATGAGGAATTTTCAGATAGAAAATTAAAAAAAGAGAATATAAGATCTTATAGAGATGGTGCCCTATGCGTGTGGTATGTCAAAAATAAAGATTTATTGATTGAACGACATATAAATATTACTTTTTCGGCTTTTACGTAAAGAAAGCGTATATTTGCTTTTGACATACATGTCACCTTTTGATCAATCCTTGAACGATAGTTTTTATTTTTTAATTTGCTGTCTGAAAATCCCTCAATAATAAACAATAAAAAAAAATAACGAAAAAATGGCTAGTAAGATAGCCGAAACACGAAGTTTTCCGAACTACATATACAGGATGTAAGTGACAGCGTTGCGAAAACTTTAACCATAGCTTCAGACCATCATCCTAAATATCGTACAGCAAGAACGTTTGTCGGAAATAAAAAAAAAAAAATTGACTTCTCGTACAAAATCAGCGACCAATTTGAATATTTTGTATGAGAGGTCGGTTCTTGCTGTAGGTTGTTAAGGATGACGGTCTAAAGCCTTGGTTATAGTTTTCACTAGGGTGTCACTTACACCCTGTATTATATACTTATCAGACTAGGCGTGATTCGCGATTCTTTTTTCAGAAATATTACCTGTCGGTTACCGTAAGCTAAGGACTCACGCTATAACAAACAACATGTCACAAAAACGTCCATCTGGTTCTGAATTTCGTAAGAGAAAACGCGTTAGAGAGATGGAAGCAAAAAAAATGGAAAATACCTTACGAAAGTGGACAGTCACACAACAAGAAAACAGTCAGGAAGATGTGTCCAATGATGACGTTTTGGCCCTCACTGGTATGTCTGGAACTAAATCTGGAAACAATTTAAAGATAATATATAAAGAAAAAGAAGACAACCCAGTCAACCCATCCCAGCAAGACTTGACCTTACCCATCACCTCCAGTCCAAGTTCTGAAATTCAAATTGAAAAAGCAGCTGCTACTGATAAGATCCAGTTAGACATAAACGATCCTGTTTCATGGTTACCATTAACTGATCACATTCGTTGTTTCCTTGTCGAGAAAGGTCCTGATCAAGGAAAAGTAAGTCAAAATATTTCTTCAACTGAAGACGCAGGACGAAAATTTAATATACATTGGTTTACAAAAAAAATGAGCAATGGCGAGATGGTACCCAGGTCTTGGTTGATTTACAGTAAAAAAAGAGATGCAATATTTTGTTTCCCATGTATACTTTTCGGTTCTTCCTCGACTAAGCAAATAATGCCGGCCCTGGCTGATGCACAAAAAGGATTTAATGATTGGCGTCATTTAAGTCCACGTATTCCTGAGCACGAAAACTCTACATTTCATAGAGAAAATTGTATTAAGTGGAAAATGCTTGAACAGAAAATAAAACGTAAGACCACAATAGATGCATCCTTACAAAAGGCTATTGATCAAGAAACAAATAAGTGGAGACATATTTTAAAAGTGTGTACCAACATACTTTTGTTTTGCGCGGAAAATAATTTACCGCTCAGAGGCTCTCATGAGCGTATTGGAGAATCAGGATCTGGAGTTTTCTTAAGTGCCGTCGATATGATTTCAAAATTCGACCCTGAACTTAGAGCGCATATTGAATCGCTTCATAAAGGAAATATTTCATATTTTACGCCTTATATTCAAAACGAGCTTATAGATATTCTTGCCTCTGAGGTCAAAAAACAAATTTTAGACGATGTTCGTGCGGCAAAATACTTTTCCATACTTTTTGATTGTACGCCAGACGTATCGCATAAAGAACAGATGTCACAAATATTGAGATTCGTAAAAGTATCCGAGCAGAAAGTTACAATCGAAGAACGGTTCATAGATTTCATCCAGTCTCATGAAAAAACGGGCGAGGGATTGTCGAAAGAGATTTTAGAGAAATTAGAAGTTGATGGATTGAATATTCAAGATCTTCGTGGCCAAGGCTACGACAATGGTAGTAATATGGCCGGTAAATATAACGGAGTCCAAGCCAAAATAAAACAAATTAATGAAAATGCTGATTATGTGCCGTGTGCAGCGCATTCTTTGAATTTATCTGGCGTACACGCTGCTAGTGTCACACCTGACATGATCACATTTTTTGGATTAATCCAGAAAATATTTGTGTTTTTTTCGAGTTCAACGGTCAGATGGGAAACTTTAATGAAATACTTAAATATTTCTTTGAAAAAACACGCCGACACTAGATGGGCCTCTAAAGCTAGGGCTGTCAAAGCTTTGAACTCGCAAATACCCCAAATCTGGTGTGTGCTAAAGATTCAAACTACCAATGATTACAATGCTGAAACAATTTCTACAGCTAAAAGCATAATGGACCAAATTAATTATAAATTCATATGTACTCTCCAAATTTGGGATAAAATTTTGGAATCTGTTGACAAAGTGAATGTAGCTCTACAGTCTAAAACTATGACTATCGACAAAGCTTCTGAATTAATAAAGGGATTAACAAACCAGATACAAAATATTCGCGAGACTATAGACATTGTTTTCGAAAAGGCAAAAAAGATTTGTGAACAATGTGGCATTGAAGACAATTTTCCTGAAAAGCGACGAAAGCGAGTAAAAAGACACGATTTAATTGAAAGTTCAGACTCCGGCTACGACATTACTCAGCAACAAAGTTTCAAAATTCAGATAAATGAAGCAATAGATACAATCATTTCTGAATTAAAATGGCGATTCGAAAAACTACGCGACATACATAACTCTTTCGGTTTTTTGACCTTAAAACACATTACTACATATTCGGTTGAAGAACTAAAAAAATATGCAGCTGATTTGAGCATCAAATATTCTGCAGATATAAATGCGACAGAATTTTGGTCCGAAATAGAAACTTTGAAGAGTCAAGTTGAAGCGACTACATTATTTGATAATTGTGAATGTCAGTCAAGTATGGGTCTTCTCAAAGCTATAGTGGAACTGGATTTAAAGGAAATGTTTCCCAATATAGTAGTCGTTTTAAAGATATTTTTAACGATGCCAGTGACTGTAGCTTCTTGCGAGAGATCGTTCAGTAAGCTCAAATTAATAAAAACGTATCTGCGCTCGACGATGGGTCAAGAAAGATTGTCTGGCCTAGCAATTTTGTCGATTGAACGCGACATAGCACGGCTCCTGTCATATGAAAATGTAATAAAGGACTTCGCAATGAGAAAAGCGAGGAAAGTAAATCTTTAAGTAATCTTAAAGTAAGTACTCATTTCTGTATTTGAGCAACTATTTTTGAATAAACAATTTTTATCTTAAAGAAATATACTAAGTAGGTACTTACATACTTTGGTTAACAATAAATAGATAGATTTATTTGTATGCACATTTGTCAATTTTATTTTCAGAGCCTGGTTAGAGCATTTTTCAGGGGCGCAGTTTTGAAAGCTCGCACTGGGTGCATAAAAGGCTAGTTACGGCACTGCCTACGGTTCTCATGCTCAAACGTTTCACTTCTGAAAATGTTTATAACAACATCAATGATAGTGACCTCGAAGTCCTTAATGTTTTCCCCAGTGATGAATTTTGATACGAATCAGTATCTTCATCGCAAACAGTCATTAAAAGTCGAGAGCATCCATGACTAATTGATATTCTTCTCTATGTATTTTTTTTTCCACTTATGATACGAATATATGTGATAATTTCTATAAAAATGTTATTTTGAAAAAATAAAACTAATATTCTCCGTTAAATATATTTTTAATTCATTTTATTTTACTCGTTATTATGTATAATTCTATTTCAAGGCGTATGTTTCGGGATTTAGAATTATATATTTTCGTGATTTGAATTTCGTGCTTCAGAAAGTAGGCGAGCAGGCGAGTGGGGGCATTCAGGGGATTTTTGGGGGGAAACTGAGCGACGCTAGGGGGAAGGCACGGAGACCGTCTGGCAACACTGGTTGATAAGCTTAGAAGAGTGGGAGGGGTGGCGCACACGCAACGCTCCCCGCAGCCCCTGCCGCACCCCGCCCGCTTCGATTAGTCTGCCTCATGCTTTACACTCGTGTTTAGGCGGTTGGTTTGTGAGCTCGTGCCGTGATTTTGTGTTTTTATTAACGACGACCCGATACTGTTTTACTGTGACCTGATCCTGCTTTTCACCTGATTGACCTTGGCTCGAATACACTGACTACGATTTGCTTGCTGGATATCAAAGTTTACCAATCGGTAAGTACTTAAATTGTTACTCACTAAGTTCAAATCATTGCGTACTACATTGTTATTGTATTGAATTTACCTATTTCTTATTATTCCATAATATATACTATTTAATTTAAAACTGATTTTAATATTTAAAGAAGTGTGACTAACCAAATGCGGTAACAATGTACTTGCATATTTTTTTTTTAACCAATGCGTCTAAATATTGGGAGCTATGTAAAAGAAATATTAAATTAGTCCTTAAACTCTTTGAAACATATCCCTCGATCGCAGGAAGATCGTACTTCCTCTTAACAAGCGCATGTGAATATGACGTCATGCGCTATGTTCTTGAATTGGGCACGTGGTAATTTTATAACAACCTTAATTAATAGTTATTTATTGTTGTTAATGTCAGGATAATAACCATAGAGAATTTTTAGATAGAAACGCACATTATTTAATATATTTCTCAGATTGAAACTTGATGGGTCTTACTTTTTACGTATTTGTTATTTTTCTGGATCCGCGTTCACATTTACGGCTCCCGGCCGCCATTTTGTTTTAGTCTCTCTTAGTACTTCAAACTCACAGTGCCCGCCACGGATCTTTGTGTTTGTGAAGTAAGCAGCAAATAAATGCGCAATGAATCAATAACGGTACAAATGGCGCTGGCGGGGAGCCGGCTAGATACGGCCGCGCAGCGCATACTCATTCCGCAGCTAACTTCACAATCAAAGATCCGTGGCGAGCACTGTATGTATTTGAAAAATAATGCAAGGTATCTGAAAGAAAGCCTGTGAGATTTAGCATTACAGTCCTAAACCTACTTTATAATATGATTATATATCGTCAAACTATCTTGTTGCAGGACAATATGGTGAGACCTAAGAATGAAAGAATTTGGAAACATTTTAGAGAAACTGAAAACAAATCTGCTACATGCAGGTATTGTGAGCAAAAATACAAAGTGGCCACTTTGCAAAAAATGGCTAGGCATCTACAGAAATGTCCACAGTGTCCTATAAACTACAAAGAAGAATTGAGGAACAGCTCTATTTCGAACGAAGAAGTATCTGATCAAGCGATTTTGCAATCACAAAATAAGGAAAATCGGATGCCTGAATCTCAACCTAGTTTTTCATCTGACAATAGTGGGTCATCATTGGGTCAGCCACCAAGTTTGAACAAAGACCAGCTACATTCATTACTAGCTAAAGCAATTTATGTCTCAGGAACACCACTTTCAATTGTCGAACACCCGCTATGGATAAGTTTTTTCAATGCTCTTCAGCCGCTATATAAGTTGCCTACTAGAAAAGCTACTTCTACCTCAATTTTGGATAAAACTTATAACGAAATGCATCGTGAATTAAAAGAAAATATTAAATCACAACCATGTCTGCACTTAATTTTGGATGGTTGGTCAAATTGCAGAAATGAAGGTATTATAAATTTGTTAATTGCAAAACCAGAACCAGTTTTTGTGAAAAGCATTGCAACAGCTGAAAATCGACACACCAGTAATTATATATGTGAAATAATTTTAAAAGTGTTATCAGAATATGGAGTAAACAAATTTCTCACATTAATTGGAGACAACGCAAGTAATATGCAGAAAGCGTTTCGACTTGTTAAAGATATTCATCCACATGTAACTTATCTCAACTGCGCAGCTCATACTTTACACTTGCTCTGCAAAAGTATAACAAAAATTGAAGTCATAAATGCTTGCAAAAATATGACAGTGAATATGGTAAAAACTATAAAACGAAGTCAAGTTTTGACATCGTTATTAGCGCAAATAGTAAAAGAAAAAAAATACGGTGAATCTTTAAAGTTACCATGCGATACTCGATGGGGTAGTTATCATGCATGTTTCAAAAGTGTAGAAAACACAAAAGTTGCTTTGCAGACTTTAGCTGTACATGAAAGAGCTATACTTCTACCCTCGGAAGAAAAATCTTCATTATTAGATGAAAACTTTTGGAAGATTGTTCAGCAATGTAAACTAATTTTAGAACCAATGTCGGACGCAATATTTCAGCTGGAAGGAAATGAAAATAATATACAAAAAGTGTTTTTGAAATTGAAAGACATGAAGTCAAAGTTACTCTTCAGTTTACCAGACATAACAATAATAGAAAATAAAGATGAAATTTTAAAGAATGTCGACGAAAGAATAAAAATGTGCCTTAAGCCTATCCATTTTGCGGCTTACTTATTAGACCCTCTACATCAGGGATCTGAACTTGATGAAAATCAAGAACTCGATGCCATGGAATTCATTTGTGAAGTGGGACAATCCATCGGCTTAAATGTAAAAGAAAACCTGGCCTCTTACCGAGCAAGAGATGGTTTTTGGAGGCGAGCATTTCTCTGGGATGGCATAAACAACATATCTGCAATAACTTGGTGGAAAGGAATGTGCGGATTTTCGGCATTAAGTAAAGTTGCCGTTAGAATTCTTACAGCACCTTGCACTTCCGCGGCTGTAGAGCGTTCATTTAGTGCTCACAGCAATATACACAATAAAAAGCGAAATAGACTCAAAACAGAAAGAGCAGAAAAATTAACATTTTTGACATACAATTGGAACTTGTTGCACAAACATGTGGAAGATTCCAGTGATAATGCTGAAGATTGCATGACTGAGTTACCGTCATCAACGTTTAGTACACCGCGCGCTGCTAGCCCTCAGCCATCTACGTCCGGAATTAGTAACGTTGAATTTCTAGATTGCGATAGACTATCTACTGACAGTGATGATGAATTAATTATGATTTTTAAAAATAAATGTTCTTTTTTGCATTCAGATTTTCATTTTACATCCCAACTTCAAATACAAATTCTCAATATCAAAATAAAATACTTTTTTTATTTTCACCCACTAAAATGTGTGATAATGGGTTATAACCCAAACAACCCAGTTATAACCCGATCGGGTCAAATGGGTTATAACCCACTACCCATCTCTACTCCCACACGGACACTCCTCTTGCATAACTATTTCATTTTTTCTTTCTTTTCACAGGCCTAAAATACAGAAAAAGTGGCGCAATTTAAGAGATACCTTTAAAAGAGAGCTTTTATTACAGAAAAAAAAATTAATCGGGTCAGGTGGCTCGCAAAAAGAAGAAATATTTGTATTTCGACGCACTATCTTTTTTAGCCACTACTACAATTCAACGCGAATCTAGTGGGAATATTACAATTGAAGTAGTGGGAATATTACATTAGCTAACCAACGACTTGCCACTATATTGAGAAAAAAAAAACAAATGCTCGTGAGAACACCGATTGTGAAGAAGAATTATTAAATATTTTACAAATGAAGATGTGAGCTTATCTGAAATGATAATACCAATGTTGAAAAATCTTAACATTGATCAAAAACATTACGCAAAAGTACAAATATTGAACATTCTTAATAAAGCTCGATATTTTGTTCCTCCACCTATGCAACCAACTACTCAGCTATTGTTACCTATCTCACAAATAAACTATCTTCCATCGCAAGTAGAATTTTTACAACCTCGGTAACAAACAACAAGATACTCAGCTCAGTCTTCTAAAACTATAATTGCACCAACATCGAATATAATCCTAAAAAAACCTATAGAGCCCCAGCCATCAACCAGTTCTCGCGCTAATTATTTAGAACAGTTTACAATGTATCTGTCGGATTCTAATACATCGGAATCGGAAGAGTTGTTATGACCTAGGAGGATATTATGATTCACACGCTTAAATGTGTAAAATTTACATGGTTAACTTGCTTTTGTAAAATTATTGGACACTAAGTAAATTGATTGATACAAAACGTTTTTATTTACTTACCTTAGTGCCACCGACAGCCTCTCTTCAGGAGATATAGCATTTCGCCATGACGTGTTGCTGTACTGAAGAAAAGGACCAACGTTATGTAAAAGGTTATCAAAAATCGGCGGCGCGCCGCCGCCGCCGCCGCCGCCATCTTGATTCGGCGTGGGTCGCATGACGCGACGCGACACGATCTAGTCGAGTTTGTGTGTTCGGTAGAAGACAACGTAAACGCAATTTTTCGTGTTCCTCAAAATGGCAGCGGCAAGCGACGCCGTGGATAAAAGTTCTTTAAATAAGATAAATATCGAAAACTTTACTGTGCGTGCGTTATACGATGCACGAAGGCGAAACAGTTTTGGGTGGAAACATTTCGGAAACCTAACTTTACAAAAAGAAAATAAAAAAAAGTGATTGTTCTGGAGGAACAAGTGTTTTGTAATGTTTGCTTGTCAGAAGCAAAGTCTGAAAACGTTACAATATCGTTCGGATCGTAAGTGAAACATTTATATTATCATTTTACTTAACATTTATATTTAATTACTAATTTTATTAAATAGGTATGTTTTGTGAAGTTTCTAAATAAAGCGTGTTTTTTTTTATTTTATTTTTTAAACAAAACTTAAGTCTTACAGTAAAAGTGTGAGCACTGGAAACCTAATTCGTCATCTTCGCGATGACCATGGTCTACGAGAGGAAGGTATAAGTGCTAAACAGACCATACAAAATTTTTTTACTACCAGACCACGAGGGCCACAACCTTCAACATCAAGCCACCAGAATATTATCATCGGAATCGTCATCTAATGACAAGTGGTACTTAGCGCGAGATTTGGCTCTCTGGTTTTGTCGCTCATTAATGCCATTTAATTCAATATCAGATGAAGGAATGCAGGACTTTTTCATGGTACGTACGTGTCGAATGCAGATAACTTAAAATAAAGGTGTTTCTTTTATTTATCCAAAGAGTTGATTTCAATAATTCAAGTTACTTACTAACCTACCTTTTTAGAAATCCAAGGTAATTGGTAACACGGCAGATTTACCATCTCGATTCCCAATATCTGGAACAGCTTTAGACGATGTATTTGAAAGCTGTTTATCACATGTTAAGAAGACGATTCAATTGGATGCTTCATGCTGTGGAGCAATTACCTTTGATTTGTGGAGCGATCAATATCCCAGGCAAAATTATATTACTTTGACATACCATTATTTGACAGAAGGTATATTTTCCTATTCTTTTTTCTCTTGTTATTCTGACATAATTAATAAGCCTTGCAGCCTAAGGCTAGAGGAAATTCGACACGGCCGTCAGGGCCGCGGTAGCATAATGGTCAGTGCATTCGCCCGGATAGCGAAGGGTGCGGATTCGAGTCCCGTCTGCTGCCTGGTCCGTTTGGATTTTGTTGTAGTAAACTTTTCTTTAGATAATTAATTATTTTGAATTTTTCAACTTTTAAATACACAATAAATTATTTCCAAAGCCAGTATAGTAGGTAGACTTCAATGTTATAAGGTTTTTTTTACAGATTTTCAACTCAAGTATTTCACGTTATTAACGGCTTTAATAACCGGGAAAAAAACTGGCCAAAAAATTGGTGATATGATTGCTGATGTAAGAAATGACTATGGGTTGCTTGATAAAACTATTTTCGCTGTCACGGATGCCGGAGCAAACGTTAAACGTGCAGTCAATTTGGCTTCCCTCAACAGTCACCTCTGCTTGGGCCATGGACTTCACAACTTGGTAAATGTAGATGGAATAAATTCGACCCCCCAAGTGAGGGCACTGGTTACAAAGTGCAAAAAGATAGTAAAGAAGCTACGATATAGATTACCAGAATTAGAAGCTGAAGCTGATAAGGAACAGTGAAAAATGATTATCCTACTAGAAAAAAACAGGAGAAGATTTGGAAAACGACGAGAGAGATCCAATCCTCGATGTTATTGTGGAAGATTATGATTGGGTAGATGACGGCAGTTCCAATGAAATCGACGATTTATTGAACCCAATACCAAGCATAAAAACTTCGACACCAACCCGCTGGCACAGCGTCTTGGCCATGTTTCAAAGTTTAAATCATTCTTGTAATCGTCACGCTGTCAACACCTTGTTAGGCAAAATTTACGAAGAAGATCTTAAATTAAACAATATTGATTGGAAGTTTTGACAGATTTACTTAATTTTTTGAAAAAATTCAAGAATATTGAGGATATACTAAGCTCACAAAAAGCCACATTTTTAAATGTAGCAATGGTATTCCGATTGGAAATTAAAGACGCACTACAGTCCTCAGATAACGATGAGCCACTTGTATTGTTGACTTTAAATAGAAACATGATGGACAAACTAAACCTCCGATTCCCAATCACAAAATTGATAGTGGCTGCTACTTTGTTGGATTGTCGCTTCCAAGGCATACGTGAAGTAGATGATTATCTTGAGACTAACAATGAAACAAGGGTGTCTTTTTTATCAGATTACATCAGAGAAGTTGTTAAAAGTCGTCCAAATCTAATTCCTTCTATGGAGACTCCTGAATCTCAATTGGTAGCAAGACCGACTGGCACGATTGACACAGTCAGCTCCTTTCTAATCAAACTTTCCGAAAAGCATTCTGGAATTGGAACTCAGTCTGCAGATGATCCCATTGACCAAGAATGTTGGAAATATTTTGCAACATGCAAGCCACAAGATCTTAAAGATGGAGATCTTTTGAATTACTGGCTTGTAAATAAGGATACTTTCCCATGGCTTTCTGCGCTAGCGAGGTCGCTTTTAGGAATACCCGCAACAAGCACTCCTAGTGAAAGAGTATTCTCTACCGCTGGGTTAGTTTTATCTGCCAAAAGATCCAGATTATCTTATAATCGTGTGAATAAAGTGATCTTTGTTCATGACAATTATAGTGCATGCAAATGCACTATTTCACAGTTGTATAGTTTTGTCGAATCTTATATATTTATGTTAAGTTTTAATTCACATTTATAGTTGAATTATTTTGTACAATACGTTTTTCATGTTTTTTTTATGTTTTGGTTGCAGTGATTTCGTAAATTGATCACAATGCAATGCATGGTGTAAAAACTTGTTGAATCATCAACTCAAGATTCATTTTACTTCTACTTTTCTTCATAAATAAAAAACATCTTAATATTTTTAATTGTTGATTGTTGTGATTATGAAAGTTTAAGACTGAAAGAACTAAAGGTTACCAACATTATAAAATAATAATACAATAATCTAATACATTTTTAAAAATTCGGGCTTAGAAACATTTTTATTTGTTATTATCTAGATTAGTAAAGTTTGTCAGGTCTGTCTAAATGACACTAAACAACATACTAATTAATATCAAAATAATTGATCTCATATTGCACTATCCAAAATAAATGTTGATTTTCTAACTTTTTTACAAATATTGTTTTATTTCATTAAACCTGCACAGGGACAGATATTTTATGTCAAGAAAATGACAAGGAATCCCTGGCCCTATTTTTTTACAAAAATAGAGTCACGCCGCCGGCGCCACGAAGCTGCCGGGTCATTTTAGCGCCGCCGCCAACAAAATTGTAGTCGGCGCACATGTCTACTATGAATAGTCATGCGAAAATAACCAAAAAACTTTTTTTCATACACTCGCAGATCGTTATACCGTACGTAAAAATCTCCTTTCAAAGGCCTTAATGCTGTCAAAGGATGGATCCAGTAACGTTTAGTTTTTATCCTCTTCTTCTTCAAATTTCTTTTACGTAAAATTAAGTAGTATATAATGTTACAATTTTTATTATTTTTTAAAGCATGTAACTGCTTGATGTTTAAATCTAAAGAAAATATAACTAGAAAAAAATTCCACGCGGACCAGGCAGCAGACGGGACTCGAACCCGCACCCTTCGCAATCCGGGCGAATGCACTGACCAATTATGCTACCGCGGCCCTCACGGACCGCGTCGAAATTCTCTGTAGCTATTCTTAAGCTGCAAGGCAGCGCCATCTCTTCGCATTATAGGTAAACCCACAATGTCAAATGAATACTTTTACAAGTATTAAACATTTGAAAGAAGAAATAGCAATTATAGTTATAATTTTTATTATTTTTTAAAGCATGTAACTGCTTGATGTTTAAATCTAAAGAAAATATAACTAGAAAAAAAAAATTCCACGCGGACCAGGCAGCAGACGGGACTCGAACCCGCACCCTTCGCAATCCGGGCGAATGCACTGACCAATTATGCTACCGCGGCCCTCACGGACCGCGTCGAAATTCTCTCTAGCTATTCTTAAGCTGCAAGGCAGCGCCATCTCTTCGCATTATAGGTAAACCCACAATGTCAAATGAATACTTTTACAAGTATTAAACATTTGAAAGAAGAAATAGCAATTATAGTTATAATTTTTATTATTTTTTAAAGCATGTAACTGCTTGATGTTTAAATCTAAAGAAAATATAACTAGAAAAAAATTCCACGCGGACCAGGCAGCAGACGGGACTCGAACCCGCACCCTTCGCAATCCGGGCGCGGACGCGGCCCTCACGGACCGCGTCGAAATTCTCTCTAGCTATTCTTAAGCTGCAAGGCAGCGCCATCTCTTCGCATTATAGGTAAACCCACAAGTTCTTTTTTTCTAGTTATATTTTCTTTAGTATATAATGGTTAATTTCTTTTGTAAATCCATGTTGCTATGTATGTATGACAGGTACACTCCCGTCTTTCGTGGTGACACAGTACCTTTTGACTGTCTCCCCAGTCCGCTATTTCGCAGGCGACAATAAATCGTAGTGCACGTACAAAATATTGTAGTTTGCTATTTTATTTCGTATTACAAAAATCGCAACGATTTTTTATCGTAGTGCGCGCTTAGCCTAACTCTTGACATCGTTTGCATCAACATTAGTGATGTAACGAATGTTGAATTTTTCACATTATCTTCAACATTCGCGAATGCGAATGAGAATATTTTAAAATTTCAAAAAAATCGCGCGTAAAATTATTTACAGGTTAGACGTTTTGTGTCAGGCATGTTTAAATTGAACATAGCCGAGCCGATATTGGTTAATTGAATGAATTTAGTCACAGAAAGTTCATTCTAAAAGTTTTGTTTTGTTTTGAGGTTAGTTTTATGTTTTCAGTGTTATGAGGTTACTTAATACATTAGATATTTAAAGTTTAATAATTTTGTTTCAAGTAATTGTTTAGTTTTTTAGTAAATAGAAACTGTAAACTTTATTTGAAAATGGTAGTAAAGTAATAATATACTACTAAATAAATTCAAACCTTACATAGTTGTAACAAGGATGATTAATGTTAGATTTGCTCAGATCTCTGAAGTTCTTTTTTCATAAATGAAACTTTAATTTAGAATGTAGAAGTATGATTTAATAAAAATATCTAAGTGTTATCTATTGTATTATTATTTCATATGCATGCATATAATAATCTTTTTGATTATTAAAAACATTCGCTAAATGTTAGCCTAATTTTTGCGATAATTGAAAAATATGCGAATATTCGCGAATGCGAATATCCGTTACATCACTAATCAACATACCTATGTGAATCTTCATATTCAAAAATGCAATATGCGAAAAATGTCTACAGATCTCGGCTTACTGATTCGCATCTAGACGAAGTTTTGAGAGTAGCATGCAGTAATTATGTCCCAGATTTAACAAAAATTGACAATAATTTGTTACAGTGTCAAAAATCACATTAGTTTTTATTACATAAATAAATGCTTATATTTTAAATTGTATAGTTTTTTTTACTGTCGCATACAAATGCAAAAAAAAACTGTTTGTCTGTTAAGCTTTCACTACTAAACCACTGGATCGATTTTGATGAAATTTGTTACATAGATAGGCTCGGGAAAGGACATAGGCGACAAAAGTACGTAGGTAAATTACTGCGGCCCGCAAGATTAAACAGTATTAATTATGTGGCCCAGGGTAAAAAAAGGTTGAGTATGGCTGGAGTAGAGCGATGACTCGCTTACGGGGTAATATAAAAAAATTCAAAATTAAACATGGATTGCGTGATCAAGACGTATCCCAACGTCTGTGTACGTTAATCTTTGAGAAGATGTCAATAACACTGTTAGACGTAATTCCAAACAGTCCGAAGCATAATATTTTATAAATGGACAAAAAAAAACAATTGAAAAGAATAACAACTGTTACTGAAGAAATCATAAAGACTGGTCTCATTATTGTTGCAACAGTATGTGATCAAAGCTCAGGAAATGTAGGGGTAATCACAGATTTGATAGAGGAAAGTAAAGCAAAACATTTGTGCAAAGGAAAAGATTCGCATGAGGATTTATTTTTGATAAAAAGACACAAAAAAATCCATCCCTATGATCCACCACATCTCATAAAGGGATTCAGTAATTATTTACTTAATAAAGATTTAACATATGAAATTGATGGCAAAAAAAATAGTTAAATGGGAATACTTTCAACTTGTATATTAAGCTGACAAGGCTCTAGGAGAATTATAGTCTTTATTACATAAATAAATGCTTATATTTTAAATTGTATAGTTTTTTTTACTGTCGCATACAAATGCAAAAAAAAGTGTTTGTCTGTTAAGCTTTCACAACTAAACCACTAGATCGATTTTGATGAAATTTGTTACATAGATAGGCTCGGGAAAGGACATAGGCGACAAAAGTACGTAGGTAAATTACTGCGGCCCGCAAGATTAAACAGTATTAATTATGTGGCCCAGGGTAAAAAAAGGTTGAGTATGGCTGGAGTAGAGCGATGACTCGCTTACGGGGTAATATAAAAAAATTCAAAATTAAACATGGATTGCGTGATCAAGACATATCCCAACGTCTGTGTACGTTAATCTTTGAGAAGATGTCCATAACACTGTTAGACGAAATTCCAAACAGTCCGAAGCATATTATTTTACAAATGGACTAAAAAAAACAATTGAAAAGTATAAGAACTCTTACTGAAGAAATCA